CTGTGTATCTCTACATGGTCTTGGCTTACTGGAGAATGCCCAGGCTTCCTGCCTTCCTGGTCGCTACATGCCATCTCGAGACTCACTCTCTCAGTCCCTCTTCCCAGAATTCTCCTAGTGTTGTAGTCTTACCTATACATCCTGCCTGGCTACATCCTGCCTGTCCATTGGCCAAAACAACTTTATTCATCAACCAATAAGAGGAACATATTCACAACATACAGAAGGATATCCCCCATCAGCAGGTGGATGTCAGTGAGTTCAAGGCCAGCCTGGTCTACAAAGTGAGTTCCAGGACACAGCCAGGACTGTTCCACATAGAGAAACCCTATATTGAAGAAAGAAAGGGAGAGGGAGGAAGGAAGAAAAGGAAGGAAAGAAGGAAGGAAGGAAGGAAAGAAAAAAGAAATAGTAGCAGTAGCCAGGTGGTGGCGGCACAGGCTTTCAATCCTAATACTCAGGAGGCAAAGGCAGGCGAATATCAGAGTTCAAGACCAGCCTGATCTACATAGTGAGTTCCAGGACAGCCAGGACTACACAGAGAAACCCTGTCTTGAAAAACTAGAAAGAAAAAAAAAGAAATGGCAGCTAACCAGGAATGGTGTGTGTCTTACCTCAGCACTTGGGAGGCTGAGGCCAAAGGATTGATAGAAGGCATATATGCACATGCAAATAAAAGTAAGAAATTTTCAAAATTATATTTTAAAACAGCCAGCTCTGTGAGGCTGGAGAGATGGTTCTGCTGTTAAAGAGCACTGGCTACTGTTAAAGAGGACCCAGGTTTGATTCCGAGCACCCACAATGGGCTCACAAGCATCTATAACTCCAGCTCCAGGGGATTCAACATCCTCTTCTGGCTTAGGCACCAGGCAGGCATGTGATGCAGCAGATCACTCATACACATGAGACAAAAAGGAAATAAACTCTCGCTTCTGGCATGAAGCATTTCCAGTAAGGGACATTGGCTATTCAACCTGCACTACAGTTCTGTCACTTGCCAGGTTGGGCCATGGTGCTTGATAGTTGTAGCTACACAATAGGTGTTACTCTCTTCATGTTCTGTTTTGTTCTTTTTCACATCACTGTTCTGTTTGCTTGTTTTGTTGTGTTTGTTAGATAAAATTCATCCTCTTTGTGTATACAGTTGGGTGGTTTTCCTGTACACACAGAAGGCTGTACAGCCATTAGTGCTAACACCAAGGGCATGTTCTTTGCTGCAACACAAACACTTGCCACCCTCTCTCTTCCCACAAACCACCAATGTGCTTTCTGTCTATGGAAGATCTGCTTCTCACGCTTAGTACAAAGTTTAAAGATTATGCAGAGGGTCATGGCATAGCATGGATCAATGAGCACATCATTCTATGTTCTTTTAACTGAAGATGGAAGCTAGGATGTCGTTTATGCTCATGCTGGGCGAGCACTGAGCCACTGAGCCATACCCCTAGCCTGTTGTTTTTACTTTGTTTTGGTGCAGTGTTTTACTCTATAACCCAAGCTGACCTGAGACTTGCTGCTGTCCTCCTGGTGGGATCACATTTTTGTGACTGGTTAATACTCTATTGCATATACCTTACTTTGTTTATTGTTGCTTTGCTTGTTTAGTTTTGTTTCTCTAGCCCAACCTAGCCTCAAACTAGTTCTTCCTCCCTCCCAAGTTCTCGAATTATAGGATGCAGCAAGCACCACACTTGCTTCTTTTATGTTCTTCAGCTCCCAAGGAAACCTTGGGTGATTTTGAATAATGTAGGTAGTAGCATCTGTCTATAGCCGTTTGTGTGTAGCTGTTCACAGTTCTCTTGGATATACACTTAGGAGAGGTATCACTGGCTCATTCTTCTTTGACGTTTGGAGGAATTAACATGTGGTTCTCTTTTGCCCCCCAACCTCCTGCCAGGCCCAGAAAATCTCTGATGACCTGATGCAGAAGATCAGTACTCAGAACCGCCGAGCCCTGGACCTTGTAGCTGCAAAGTGTTACTATTATCACGCCCGGGTCTATGAGTTCCTGGACAAGCTGGATGTGGTGCGCAGGTATGAGTCCCCAAGGTCTCCAAGGGATCAGAGCCATGGGCATCACTACTACAAAGTTGTGGAGAGAATGAGGAACTGGTGGGTGTGAGGGTATGTATGAGTCACTGTTCTGTTGCTGTGAAGAGACACCGTGACTAAAGTAACTCATAAGGTTTAGTCTGTTGTCATCATGGCAGCATGTGTGGCTCTGGAACAGTAGCTGAGAGAGCTACATCCTTATCTGAGGGGGTAGGGAGCCAGCTTGGACTTTTTTTTCCCCTTGAGTTTTTCAAGACAGGGGTTTTTCTATGTAGCCCCTGGCTGTCCTGGAACTCACTCTGTAGACCAGGCTGACCTCAAATTCAGAGATCCTGCTGCATCTGCCTCCCAAGTGCTTAAATGCTTGGGCTTTTGAAACCTAAGTGATACATTTCCTCAGACAAGGCCATACCTCCTAACCCTTCTAAGTCTTTCAAATAGTGCCACTCCTTGGTGACTAAGCATTCAAATATATGAGCCTGTGGGGACATTCTTGTTCAAACCACCACAGATACCCAGCAGGTGATGGGTAATAGTTAGCATGCCTTGAGCTTTGGGAGTGGTAATCCTTGCTAAACAATGTAAATATAACCTCTGGGCTTTCACAAACTGCCCCCTGGATTTTTTTGTCACCCCAGAGCTAGGGAGGGTTGGTGGGTGAATGAGTTAGGGTTGAAAGGACATGCTAGAAATATTTTAGCTTTCTGTTCAAAACCTGATACAGCCACCACACCCCCACCACCAGCCTTTTGAAAAGCCAGAACCTTCACAGTAGTTTCTGAGAACTGAACTGACCAACTTTCTTCTTTGTTGGTTCACCTCTCCTCCAGTACGCTGACCTCCTGTTGGGCATAGCAGATGTACTTCTTAGAGCCTTTGCCCAGAACCCTCTCCCCACCTTCAAGTCTATCCTTCCCTGTAACCATCTCAGTCCTGGGGTGAGCAGGCTGCTTAAAATGGTCCTATGAAATGGTTCAGTGTATAAAAGCCCAACAACCTGAGTTCCGTCCCTGAGATCCACATAATAGAAAGATAAAAACGATTCCCCAAAGTTGTCCTCTGACCTCTGTATCTGTGCTATTATCGCACACTCACCCATACACAATTTTTTTTAATAGTTTTGAAAAACCATTAGAGGTTTTTTAAGACAGGTTTTCTCTGTATGACAGTCCTGGCTGTCCTGGAACTCACTTTGTAGACCAGGCTGGCCTCAAACTCATAGAAGCCCTTGTCTCTGCCTCCCAAGTGCTAGGATTAAAGATGTGAACCACCAAACCTGACATGGTTTGAAAGTTTGATATCTGCTTGCTTTCCTTCCCAAAGTTTCTTGCATGCCCGGCTCCGGACAGCCACCCTCCGGCATGATGCAGACGGACAGGCTACCCTATTGAACCTCTTGCTTCGGAATTACCTACATTACAGCTTGTACGACCAGGCTGAGAAACTAGTGTCTAAGTCTGTCTTCCCCGAACAGGCTAACAACAATGAATGGGCCAGGTACCTCTACTACACAGGTAAGCGGGGCCCCCCCACCCACCCCACAAAGCAGGATGTGGCTCAGGCTCTGTAATGTAGACTTTTCAGGGTTGGTCCATTTGATGCAGCCAGCACTCATCCCAGATAGGCACAGGAGGGACCAAGTAAAGCTTTTGCTAATTAGCACAGTCTAGGCCCACACATGGGATACTCCACAAATCATCAGGCAAGTGTGGTTGGAATAATCTAAAGCCAGAGTATTTGCCCAAAGAGGGGATAGTGGTGGTTGTGGTGAATGCCACTGCTTTTTTGTTTGTTTTGAGACAGGGTTTCTCTCTGTAGCCCTGGCTGTCCTGGAACTCACTTTGTA